TTACCCTTTTTTGGTTGGGAGGGCTCCCCTATTAAAGTAGACTACAGAAAAAAGGGTACCCTTATTCTATCCTCTTTGCCAGAGGACCTAGCCCAAGCAGTTTGTTTGCCGCGCGTGTCGAACTCGCTCCTGCCAGGAGCGAGTTCGTGGAGCACAACAGGAGCTCGGTGGATTTAGGCCTCCGGCACCGACACCTGTCGAAGGCGGAGCCGGCCAGCGCCTATTACAATACATGTGGTGGCGTGTGTTGTTATCAGCAGCATTATTATTATTATTATTATTATTATTATTATTATTATTATTATTGTTGTTATTTGTTATCAGTGTTGTTATTATTATAACTACCATTATTGTTTGTATTATTATTATGTTTATTTATTATTATGAGTTACTAGTATTATTAGTTATTATTATTAGTTAGTATTATTGTTAGTTAATATTATTGTTACTATTACTATTATTATTTTCAATATGTTTTTGTTGTGTATGTGTTTCAATGGAAAAATGTGGAAAAGTAGTGGTATTAGCTTTCCTTTTGCTCTTTTAGTGATTACTACGTGCATCTACCAGATCGGAGTTGCAAGGGAACCAACCAAGGGAGGCTGTTTCAAAAACAGTTTTCAACCATGGTCTAGCTGCTTGTTTGCCTACCCTGTCTCCTGCTGTCTCCTGTACTGTTGGGGAGAGTGAACCACACAGAAACAGGGCAACTGCAAAGGACTGTCACATGGCATGGATCTGAATGCAAAGAAATGCGTGCCTCTCAAAGGGTCCCGCACGTCGCACCCCTTTTTGAAGAGCCACTGACATGTTGTCAAATATTACACCAAAATTCGACCTTAGTGTTATGTTCAGCATTCATGGGATACGTCGAGCTCACGAGTGGTCGGCCAACAACTTCTGGCAGGTGCATGACTGGGATCTCGCGAGTGACAAGTGCGCCCGGAAGCGGTACTCACTCTTTGCAGGGGGGCCTAGCCCCCCTGATGGCGTTGGTTGGGTGTTTCGGAGGGTGTTCGTGGGTGTTCGGCCAGGTGATGTTATCCACTTAAAAGTCTCTCGTTCAGTGAAGCTAGCCCTTTTAGTGGGTTGTATCCCAGGCGAAGCGACGTTTTTGCCTGGGATCCAATTTCCGTTCGGCCTCTTTGTGTGGTTTGCTATAGAGTTTTGAAGGACTCGGGAGCCCGACCAGCCCCGTTTGGTTGACACGGGTGAAAGATGCTTGCTGCCACCTGAATCTTATGTAGGGGATCAGAAAGGAACTGGAAGGAGTCAAACCCAGTGTATCAGCTGGCCTGCTGTATGCAGCTCTGGGGAAGTGGGTGATTAAAAACGTTTGGTTGCATTTGAATACTCAGCAGGTGCCTGTTGCATTGGAACTATAGCGGCTTGGCTTTCTCAAGATTGGTTAAGACATTGGGAGCCGGCTGCTTTGTTCCTAGATGTGTTTTTGTCCGCTGGGTTGTGGGGATGGGTAGTCGGTGGGTCGGTGGGTCGGTGGTTCGGCCAACGGTCGATGAGTCACTCGGTCGGTCGCTGCATCCGCGTGTTGGGTTTGAGTTTGTCGTAATGTTCATTTTTTGTTCTGGTATGTGTATTGGTGTGGAGTGCTCATGTTTGCATGCGGGTGTCCTACCTGTGCCGCATGAGAAGTGAGCGCTCTTCAGGGGTGTTCGAGCTATTGGTTAGACTTATGTGCATCTTGTAGACTTGACTAACAAGGCTGCGCTGTTTGGCACAGAGAGGCGCAGATCTCACCCTTCCACTTGCTCAGCATTTCACCAGTCACACCTCCTTGGCGTGGGCCCGTTGGGCACACGAAGTAGGCTGGTAACATTTGGTAGCTCGAGTTTTGGCAAATGCGACAGTGCTTCAACGTGTTGGATACACATTTGGTGGGGCTCGGCATAGGCATTGCGTGGAGGTGCAGCAAGCGATGCTTGTTCCTATTGTCCCACGCAGCACTTGGATGAACAATGCAATGCAGCACTTGGATGAGCCTTCCCCCCCCATGTATAAACGATGGTCTTGTATTCCATCACTTCCATGAGGGTCCCTATGTTTTGCCATTAGAATGCGTAGAGCAGAGACTGGCTCGAAACGATTCGTGTTGCACGAGTTCGCGTCGCCGAGGTAGAACTGGACAAGCACAACGTCTTAGGTGTCGGCTTCGGCCTTTTCTACAACGGCCGGCCGGTGCAATTGGATGTCGCGCGCGGTTCTTCGGGAGAGATCAGGGGTCTCCCCGTTGCGCGCTGGACGTAAGGGGACGAAGGGCGGTGTCCACAAGGCTTTGGAGATTCTCCGGTCCATTTCTCTATCCCTGGGCGGAGTGGAACTAGTGGAAGCCCATAGATACACATCTGGATGACCTGGGAACTTTACATATTGGGATGTCTTTTTTGCTAGTGCCCTTTGTTTGGTGGTTTTGAAGGGGAACCAAAAGGAAGACCACGAATTCAGAGCCTCCCCTAGGTAAAGACACACCCACAGGGTTCATCCCCAGATGACGATCTCTTGCAAGTTTCAATCATGCTCCCTGAGCTAAACCTGAAACAATCATGCAACTTTCGGAATTGCGTCGCTATATTTGTTTTTGCATCATCAGGTTCAGCTGCAAACATGGGGCCTTAGCAATTGGGTCTGAATTCCAGTCATGTGTCATGGGTGCTTTATGCAAGAAGTCTACCATCTGTTTTTCACCCAGTCTGTCTATCTTGTGAGCAAATACAGCAATTCAGGGGTTCATGGAAAAGGTCCTTTACATGGGGGGTCCGTGTCTTATGTCCGACGTTGCATGGTGAAAAGTTGGAGATCAGTGAATGGGTGGATTCAGGATCTGCGGGAATGCCAAGCAAAGAATGCACCTTGATTTGCAGAGCTCGTGAAATTCATGTCCGCTCAGGAGGTGATCGCATGCTTGGCAGCTCTTGGGCGTCGGAGTATAAACAAAACGGGGAAAGCCTCTTTGTTTCGAGATTCGCTTCAGGCATTTTCTTCATTCTGGCGGCGGCCATCATCACGTGCTTTGCCATGTGGCACCTTGAAGCCTCTCGGCCAAGCAAACCGCCGGTCGGATCTGCACGAAGCTGCGAGTGGCCAGGCTCCCAAAAAAGTCTGAGAACGCGTAAGTTTGTCTTGTTTACATCTTCTGAAGTCGGGAACTCGGAATGCCTGGATTGAAGAGAATCCAAGGCCAATCCTCTCATGTCATACGTGCTGACTATGTGCCATGTAGCCACAACAAGAAGCCGCTTTCGCGTGGTGAAGTGTGCAAAACGGCTGAGTTTGTATACTCTAGTTCCAGCCACTTGCTTCCCGAAGATCGAGCGACGTTCTTTCATTCAGGAAACAGCCAGGGGTACTGAGGTACCGCTCAATGAAAGGGCAGGGTCAAGGATGAGGAAATTGGTGTGGTCATTTTCCCAGGGAATTGTCTACCCTTGCGCTGATCGGGTTTTGGAACCATGCTTCAGATGCTTTTTTTTCCTGGCTCCGCCAAAGTGACCACCTCAGAAATACCGTGTAAAAGGCATTTCTTGAAATGTCCCACCCCGAAACGTTTCTTTCACGCGAAGTTTTCGCTCATTTCAGGGACAGTCCTGAGCGGTGTATGTCTCATGTCAAGGCTCATGTAACTCGTTTCAGGGTGCCCGAAAAGCAGGCAAAGTCGCAGCTGGAGGAGATCTTCAACGGCTCGTCCACCAGCACCCGGCAGCAGCTCTCGGAGGTGCCGAACGAACTCGATGGCCAGAGAGGGACGAAACAAACAAACCCTGGAGCCGACAAATAAATCAGAAGCTGTATGTATATATATATATATACATAGCTGTATGTATATATATATATATATGTTCATATATACATAAGAAATCAATGTGTATGCAATAAACTGAAGAAATACATAATCAATAAATAGATACCTGCCATAAATACATTGAAAAGTCGAGAAGTCGATAAACAGATCAATGCAGGGGATCCACCCACCAACATGAAAATGTTCCAGAAGGCTCCTTTTCGAGGTTTCCCAAGCTTGCCCGAGAACCAGGGAATTTGAGCAGAGCCGTTGAAGGAGCAACTAGTCCGTATTTTGTGCCATTTATTGGTATCGGATTGGTCAGTTGGCTCAAGATTTGAGCGCCATTCCATGTCCGCGGCGGCTATGGCTACTTTGAAAGTGTTTCTGGGTGATCCCTCGGTCTCAGGTTGCAGTCTAACTGAAAGGGCCCAGCTCCCGGTCCAGGATGATCGCATGCGCAGCCATGGAAGAGCCATATGGCTGTGGGTCAAAAATGGGTACCCAAAATAGAACCCTGGTAAATGGAGCCAAGGACTAAACTCTGCGGCCCCCCTGGTGGTTTAATTTTGACCCACACCCATATTGTGCAAGTCTTCGAATCTGAGGCGGTTGATATTCACTCAATTCCTTCCGATGTGCCTCGCAGTGGCAGATCAAACCCAGCGTTTTTTGAGGCATTGCGATAAATGTTATGTGGGTGTTCCCCAAGTTTCGTCTTTGGATGTCCAGATGTGAGGTTCGGTAGCAAAGAATAGTAGTCCATGATCCATTTGGGGGGGCACTTGGGGAGACCGTAAAGTTTAAACCAGGTTTCAAGCCCATGTTCAACCACAGAAGCTGCAAGCTGCTGGCGGTAGGTCCTCGGACGGACGGACCTCCCAAAGGCGACCCTCCCCGCAGTGATCGTGTCGCCCATGCTGCCGCTGGGAATGCAAGTCTGGCGACCACGGGGGGAAAACGAGCAAAAGCCCACGAGTTCCAAAATGTTCTATGGAGCCCACGAGTTCAGGTGTTGGAATCATTGTTGGTACAGGTGCAAGTTCTTTCAAGTGCGGCAAACGAGTTGCGCCAGGGTGATGAATCTGCTCCTGCCGTTTGCAACTGGGCAAGGCGAACAGGTTTGGTGGAAGACATCGCAGTCCCCACTGAAAGGGTCGAAATGCCTTGGTTGGAGTTGCCCGGGCCTCATTGCGTGAGATCTTCTGGTGCAGCCAAAATCACCAATTCTTCGTCAGCAATCAGGAGCTGAATTGGGAACGTGGGATTTTGTTTCTGGTGCAGCCTGCCACAATGTTTCAGGGCCAAGCTGCTCAAACAATGAAAACAACAAGTTCGGCACAGATCTCGCTGTTCTTAAGAACAACACTCAGTCTGTGGTCTCGTTGGGGCAACATCCCGCCTTCAGCTGTGCTTTAAAGCCCCAAATTCAAGCTTGTAAGAGATTGGTAAGAATCTAACCTTGTCAAATATTGATTGAAGCAATGTTATGCTATGAAACATGTCCATGTCAAAGAGAGTCAAAACCTGCATGTGTGTGTGTGTGTGTATGTGCTTGTTTGTTTGTCTCTCTCTCTCTCTCTCTCTCCCTCTTTGTACCTGCCTTTGTCAAAATAGGGTCAGCCCCCCTCCCTCCAACAAAAAGAAATGGTTTTCCCCCGTTTCCCCCAAACCCACCCCAAAAAGAATGGGTACCCTCAACAACACACACCTCCATAGCCATATCAAAGTCTCCGAGACACTGTGCGACCAACTCCCCGGACGACTTGACGCTGATCCTGAAGGACTACGCGTCAGCGCGCACCTTTGGTTCCAACCGGTTTGCGTTGTTGCTGTTGTTGTTTTGTGGTTTTTTCCCCCGACGACACCGAGCTGGGGGGGGGGGAGAAATTCGGATTCTGTGCATGGACAAGATCCATTTCGCACCGTGGATGAAGCCCCGTAGTGGGATGAACCTCCAAACCGGTCCAGAATAGGCCACTGGGCCAGTGGAGTTGCCTCACCCTTTGAGCTCCTGGGATTTAGACTTTGTAAGACAATGTCTGCAAATAAACAAGTGCAGCCGTTGGGCCAATGGACTCAAGTGAGACACAGATAGCAGCCATGGGCGTGGTGTTGGAAGACATGTCTGCGCTCGATTCTTTCTAGCAATGAGCCCGCAGAAACAGGATCAAGCAAGGCGCCCTGAGAGTATTCCGGAGAAAAAGTGTGTCTTCGGGATCTCCTTTGATCTAAGGGAGAATCAAACTGGTGGTGCTTGGGTGCTTGGTTGGGGGTCTCTGGAGTTGAGGTATGGTCAGGTTTATGTGCAGTTCATTTACAGGGGCCTTGGAGCTGAAGGCTACAGGAGGCAAGAGTCAGCACTCTCAGAGTCTGCGCGGTTCGGGTTCTTGACTAGGACCCCAGTAGCGCCCTTCTCTCCCCTTTTTTGGTTGGGAGGGTTCCCTTACTAAAATAGACTACAGAAAAAGGGTACCCTTATTCTAACCTCTTTAGTGGAGGGCCTAGCTGATGTTCAAGTGATTTGTAGCTCTCATTCTCAGAAAAGCACAAGGGACATGCATGGTCTTCTATGGTCTTCTATAATATGGCAGATGTTTGACCAAACTGACTGCACTTTAGTTGGAATTATTTGACCCAGGTAGACTCAAATCCAAGCGTGGTTGATTTCCACGCAAGGGGGAGCCTGGACCTCTATCCATCCATTTGGATTTGCCAGTTCAGCAATTGAGGTGCCTTTACACTACTCATACTGCCGCTTGGATGCAGCTATGCTGCCAGAGCTGCCAGAGCAAGAGGTCGTCAAAGCTGGACATGGTGTTTTGTGTGTGTGTGTCTTGGAGGGTACCTTTCTCAGTTCTGTTCACGGGAAGCATGCGGAGCCCCGCGGAGCCATTGTCTTAGGCCGCGAAAGGCTGGCTTAGCCGCAATGCACCGCCGAAAATTAGCCTCTCTTTGCCAGATCCAAGCCATCCTAAGCCGCAAGGGTCTGCGAAGCTGAGGGATCGCCGTTCGGAAAGCTTGCCAACCTCGAAGACGTACCCATTAGCCATGGCCCACTGGACATGGCACGAGTCCAATGTAAGACCCTGGCGCTTTGGATCCGCTTCGCAAACCAAACTCAGAGGCGCCATGTCACTGACCAACTCCAGTTTTCGCACCCGGCACGCGGTCTATCCGGGTTTCATCCGTCTCAAATGAGACCGGATGCTGAGAGTCAGCCAAAATTACCTGTTTTCCCACAAGGGCCCCATTCTGGCTCCTTTTCTGAGGTACTCCATGAGCATTATGAATGAGTTCCATCAGTTTTTAAGACCCAGATCACCACAGCTGGGAGGGATCAGTGTTTGGGCCGTGCGCTCAGATCTTGGTCAACGTGTTCGTGTTTGGAAGGTGGTTAAAGGATTCCGGTGCTGGAAATCCCATGTGCTGTTTAGTTTCCTAAAAGAAAATCAGGGGGGTATTGAATGTAGAAACCGACACCCGATCGCAGGTATGTAGTGCTTCTCTTCGTGTCACTTATCTACGTGAAGACGCAGAAGGACTTTGCCAAGAGGCGGAGCTCTCAGGGCGTTTCGACGTGCCTGGCTTGCGCTCAATACCTTCCAAAGTTGGCGACAGCAAACACGGAGTGAACCTCATATTGCATCAAGGGCGCCAAAGAAGTTGTTGCAGAGCGCAGATGATTCTTCCGATGACAGTATGGCCAGTGAGCCTGATAGAGTGAAACGTATCGTCAGCTTTAGTCACTGGCAAGGGCAGTTTCGACTGGGAGCACGAGGAAAATCTACGGCCAAGCTATATGAACTAACGAGCATGACTAGCACAAGAGGAAATGGACAATTTCGCATCTGCCGAGATTGATGCCACCCGTTTGTGTTTTCACTGCCCCTTGTTTACAATGATGTTACTCAGAAAGCAGATCCAGAAGTCTTCTGCTCAAAGCGCACCACCAGTTCATCTCAGAGCTGGGCATTCTCCTCCTAGTTGTCCTCATCGGTCGGTTGTTCTTCTGCAGCTCTCGTTTCACATGGCTCGGACACGAGTGCGCTTGACCTTCCGAGTAGTGCCCTTAAAGGCGACATTTCGGCCAGTCAAGAAATCACCTAGTGGCTGCCCATATGTCTCCTTGGAACTATTTTGATACGAAAAATGCGGTATGATGCTGTCAATATTTGTTTGGTCTAAACAGTGCTAAATTGCACGAGCCCCCTGCGGGAAGGGATGAATAAGTGTTTTCAATACGTTGGGCAGAAAGAAGTAACACCTGCAACCCAGACTAAAAAATTGTAGTAAAACACTTATCCATCCCTTCTCGCAGGGGCTCGACTCAGATACTGCCCTGCAGCCCGCACTCTTTTTTTCCGCTTCTCGCATCAAAACTGCACACTACCGTTTCGATTTGAACATCTGGCTGATGTTGCCAGACGGGGGCTCTTTTCTCTTCCGGCCAGCCTTCGCCTTGGGCTCCGGCTTGGGCTCCGGCTTGGGCTCCGGCTTGGGCCGCGCCTTTGCCTTTGCCTTGGCCTCTGGGACTGCAGCCTCACGGGCCTGGCGGGCCTTCTTTTTCGCCACCGCCTCTTGCTGGGGCTGGCTCGCCTTCCAATGGAGGAGGCATTTGGCTCAAATGGTCTGAGGTTGAATTTGATGAAGGCAGGGGGTGGTGGATAAAGCAAGTGAACCAAATAGACAACAGCGCCGTTCCGTCCAACTGCGCCTTGTCGCTGTTCAACTTCGCGTCCGCCTCAGCGCCCGCAGCGCCAGCAGGAGCCTCTGCATCAATCTTCTCGGTCTCCAGCATGCCCTGCGCAGCTATCGAAAAACACAACGTTGTTTGGGGAGGCCGTTGGAATTATGAAGCGTAGGGTAGGGGGTGGTGGCAAAATGAGTGAAGAAACACAACAACATCTATCCGTCCAACTGTGCCTCGTTGCTCTTCAACTTCGCGTCCGGCTCAGCGCCCGTAGCGCCAGCAGGAACCTCTGCGTCAATCTTCTCGGTCTCCAGCACGCCCTGTGCAGCTGTAGAAAATCACAGCGTTCTTTGCCGAGGCCGTTGGAATTATGAAGGGTAGGGTCGGGGGTGGTGGCAAAATGAGTGAAGAAACACAACAACATCTATCCGTCCAACTGTGCCTTGTTGCTCTTCAACTTCGCGTCCGGCTCAGCGCCCGCACCAGCAGGAACCTCTGCATCAATCTTCTCGGTCTCCAGCATGGTCTCCAGCACGTCCTGCGCAGCTATAGAAAATGACAACATTCTTTGGGGAGGCCGTTGTCAGGGTGGGTGGTGGAAAAATTAGTGAAAACCAAGAATACAGCAGCTATCTGTCCAACTGCGCCTCGTTGCACTTCAACTTCGCGTCCGGCTCAGCGCCCGCACCAGCAGGAACCTCTGCATCAATCTTCTCGGTCTCCAGCATGGTCTCCAGCACGTCCTGCGCAGCTATAGAAAATGACAACATTCTTTGGGGAGGCCGTTGTCAGGGTGGGTGGTGGAAAAATTAGTGAAAACCAAGAATACAGCAGCTATCTGTCCAACTGCGCCTCGTTGCACTTCAACTTCGCGTCCGGCTCAGCGCCCGCGCCAGCAGGAACCTCTGCATCAATCTTCTCGGTCTCCAGCACGCCCTGCGCAGCTATCCAAAAACACAACGTTGTATGGGGAGGCCGTTGCTACGATGAAGGTACTGGATAAGAATGAGTGAACTAAATACATATCAACATCTATCCGTCCAACTGCGCTGTGCCTTATTGCTCTTCAAATTCTCGCTCGGCTGCGCGCCCGCGGCGCCAGCAGGAACCGCTTCCGGGATGGTCTCCAGCAAGTCCTGCGCAGCTACAGAAAATGACAACATTCTTTGGGGAGGCCGTTGTCATTATGAAGGGTGGATAAAAAGATGAACATGTGAATAACAAAATCTATCCGTCCAACTGCACCTTGTTGCTCTTCAACTTCGCGTCCGGCTCAGCAGCAGGAACCTCTCCATCGATTCGTTTGGTCTCCAGCTTCGCGTCGATTTCAGCGCCAGCGCCCGTGTCACCAGCAGGAACCTCTCCATCAATCTTCTCGGTCCCCAGCACACCCTGCGCAGCTGTAGAAATCACTACGTTCAGGATTCAGTATGAAGGCTGCGGGTGGTGGAAAAATGAGTGAACAAACACAACAACATCAACATCTATCCGTCCAACTGTCTCTTCAACTTCGCGTCCGGCTCAGCACCCGTAGCGCCAGCAGGAACCTCTGCATCAATCTTCTCGGTCTCCAGCACGCCCTGCGCAGCTGTAGAAAATCACTGCGTTCAGGATTCAGGCCGTTGTCATTGTGAAGGGTGCGGGTGGTGGCAAAATGAGTGAAGAAACACAACAACATCTATCCGTCCAACTGTGCCTCGTTGCTCTTCAACTTCGCGTCCGGCTCAGCGCCCGTAGCGCCAGCAGGAACCTCTGCATCAATCTTCTCGGTCTTCAGCACGCCCTGCGCAGCTGTAGAAAATCATAACGTTCTTTGGGGAGGCCGTTGTTATTATGAAGGGTAAGGGTGGTGAATAAAATAAGTCTTGGGTGAACAAAATAAATTAAAAACATCTACCCGTCCAAAATCGCCTCGTTGCTCTTCAACTTTGCGTCCGGCTCAGCGCCCGAGGCGCCAGCGGAATCCTCTGCATCGATCTTGTCGGTCGGAAGCTTGGCGTGTGCCTCAGCGTCCGCGGCGTGAGCATGAAACTCTTTGTCAATCTTCTCGGTCTCCAGCTTCGCGTCCGTCTTTGAGCCCGCTGCATCCGCGGCACCAGGGCCCTCATGGGCTTCCAGTTCCACATCCTGCAACGTTTCCTCAACTTGCCTATGTTTTCAACTTTTGAAGTATGATACTACTTGAGGGTTAAAGGTGAGGGTTTAAAGATTGGTGGAGCAGTTGGTGGAGCTTTATAAGGGACATCAAGATCACTGCCTACGGCCTACGGCGACTCCGCCAGACCTAAAGCAGGCACGAAGTACTGTACGGCACTTTAGGCTATTGGGTTGAAGGCTTAGATATTTGTGGACCAAGAGCACTGCCCAAGGCCTACGGCGACTCCGCCAGACCAAAAGCAGGCATGAAGTATGATACTACTTGAGGGTTAGAGTTGAGGGTTTAAATATTGGTGGAGCAGTTGGTGGAGCTTTATAAGGGACATCAAGATCACTGCCTACGGCCTACGGCGACTCCGCCAGACCTAAAGCAGGCACGAAGTACTGTACGGCACTTTAGGCTATTGGCTATTGGGTTGAAGGCTTAGATTTTGTGGACCAAGAGCACTGCCCAAGGCCTACGGCGACTCCGCCAGACCAAAAGCAGGCATGAAGTATGATACTACTTGAGGGTTAGAGTTGAGGGTGACGCTTTGGCCAGCACTCATATGAAGCCCCAGCCCTGGCGCCGGGCTAGCGCTGCCGGTGGGATTTACATGATTTAGGTGGGGGCCCGCTTCATTTCGAAAAGGAAAAGCCAAGACGCAACAGGAATTATGCACGTACTGTATGTAGCTCCTTAGCCGGCCTTTTTGAACGGAAGCCATATGTATATATATATAACATACATCTGCCATCACAAAGGTCCCCTTGCACATGCCCCCCAAGCTAGCAGCTGGCGCCGGTGCTCGGCCCCTTCTTGGGTGAGATTCTTATAACCTTACCAATTTCCGGGAATGATTTACATGGACACTCCCACCACTCAACTCACCTACCTGCAAGATAAACTCGGACTCGGAAACATAAAGCAGAGTCAAGATTGCCAGCCAACTCAACTCAACCTGAAACCGGGGGCCAAAACAAGTGACATCGCCCACGCACCTCCTGCTCGCTGTCACTCCCCCGGCGGGCGGCCATGTCCAGGATGCTGGGCACTGGCGGTTGTGCTTCCGCGACCGGGACACACTTCAGGAAGAGCTCCGTGTAGTTCTTCACCCTTACCTGATACACAAGCATCCCGAGATCCGAGGCCTTTCCGAAACACGATGCCATCGCAACCACTCCTTTCAATTGCCACTAGCACTGAAACAGCGAGTCTTCAATAAAGTTGGCCTGGTCGGCCACCATTCGCAAGGAGGCGTTGCACTTGTCTGGCAAGTGCATCCCGAAGATCCTGCAGAGTGTGGGAGGCAAGCATCGATACGATTGGAACGGGTGCCAGCAAGACCAACCTTGGACAACCGCACCAGCCATGCCAGCCTCAGGGCCACGTCAGTGTCGTGCACCGCTTTGTCCAGCAGCAGGTACCCGCCCGGCAGCACTAGGACGTCTCCTGTCCGAAGAAACACTGCGCCCAACGAGGGCATCGCAAGTTCGTCTGGCACGTCTTTCGCCTGGAGCGCCTGCATGTGACGTCGTATGTCTTGCAGGCTCTCCGTACGCCAGAACGTGGATGCCTCCAGAGCAGAACACGCGATGAGCATCTTGCCTCCGGTGACTTGTAGTCGGATTGTTGGCAGCGCCTGCGCATCAATGCCATTGTAGGTGGTCCCCTCGCGGCTGCCCAGCAACCACACACCCCGAAGGCTCTGCATGGCTGTGTCATC